TCATTCTTGGCGGCGCGCTTCCTTCGGCAAGCAGCTTACCGCGAGGTCAGGAGCTGACTGGATGGCGCCTCCCCCATCGCAATGCGTTGACCCCCTCGACTGTCAGATTATTGCTCTGCTGCTCCGGCGAGGCCCTCGCCTGATAATCTGGCATTGGATGCGCGACCGTTCCAGACCCCCTAATCAGACCGCTCTCCAACGAGCCCCAGTAGATGGGGTCAGAGGATCACGCATTGCATCGGCGACCTCGGCGAGGAAAACATCTGGACCCACATCGCGCCGCATCGCCGATGCATCGCCGATGCGGCGCGATCCTCCGACCCCATCTACTCTGACTCCATCTGGGGGGCCCAAAGCATCGAGGCCCCCCCCCAGCCTCGACCACCCCGCTCTCGGCTGGGCGGCGACATCCGAAACCTACCAACACCCATCGATTCTCAAGAATCGGAGGGAACGCTGGCCCCGTCTGGGAGCCCTATACTTGGGGAAATTAAAAGGCACCCGTGCTGCCACTCCCCGGACCTCCCCCAGGGTGCGCTCTGACCAGCAGAAGTTCGAAGCGAATCCAGCGGCGGCGGCGAGGGCGCCCCGGGAGCCCCAGGAGGCGGAGACGAGGCAGGGGTGGCAGCATGGGCACCTGCCCCTCCTCCGAAAACTGGCGCCCTCGATGTCGCAACCTGGCGCGCCCGCGCGGGCGCCCTCGCCGCCGCCCGGGCGTCGCGAGCCGGCAGCGCCCTGCCAGAGGGCCCCTGGAAGACTGCACTGCGGGGTAACCATAGGCGGGGAATGACGCAGGCGGGGAATCGACCTTGAATCGACGATACAAAAGGAGCCCGACCACAAGAAACCTTCCACGAGGAAACCCAACCCGGAGACCCCAAAACGTCCATCGACTCTCGCCGTGGGAGCGCCACGCTCCCCATGGCAAAACCATCGAAACCCAAGAAAGCCAAGAAACCCAAGCATGGATATACTCTCTAATGCTAGCACGCGTCGTCGAGACATCGATGCAGCGAGGGGCGTCTAAGGACGCGGTGGCAAGCACTCTCCAGTACCGAGCGCCCATGCTCCTGAGAGGGGGGCGACAGGCCTCCTTCCCCTAAACCGAAGCGGCAGTAAAAGAAAAGGTGCATAGGTTCTGGGCTAAGCACAAGCAGCTCCTAAATAGCCTCGGGATGCCCCTGAAGAACCTCCGAAAGACTCCGAGTGCCTTCTAGATTCACACTGGCTGTTCTCGACTGCTCAGAACCTATTGCACTCCTCGAACCTCATGGTCAGGGAGTGAGGCCTCCTGCTCCTCGTAGTCCAGCTGGATCTCTCTGAGCCTCCTGTAGTCCTCGGGCCCGTAGGTATGATCATCACTCTCACTGTTCTGGCGCTGATCTCCAGTAGTGTCCATCTCGTAGAGGTCCAGGCCCGTGAAGCAGCAGTCGGTCAGGCAAGCGAAGTAGGCTGGCTCTTTCTGCCCGCAGCTGATCCTCTTCCGGTAGCGGCGCTGCAACACGATGCTGTCCACAGTAATGCCGTACTCGCCCTGCCCCAGAGCGTTGCGTAGTAGTGAACTCTCGCCCTTTCTCCTGGTGGGGTGAACCGCGAATTGACTGGTTCCCTCGATCCACCGAAGGTGTACCTGTGGTCGTTGCATAGCTGCTCTCACCGTGGCCACGTCGATAGCTGCTCGCCTGTCTTCTGCGAGGCCCACCTTGAGGTTGGTCACGGCCCCCCCTGGAGTCGGTAACGCTGACAACAGGGAATCGCCCTGCTCGCAAGTAGGGCCTCGAGGTCGAACTCGCCATCCACGATCTCGGCCAGCATGGGGCGAGTGAGCTCTGCAATGGCCGTTCCTTCTGAGATCGCCAACGTCTCCGCTCCAAACTGATGAGCACACTTCCTCTTCGACTTGTGACTATTCCAAGACTCGATGGAGATGGTGGCGGGCTCCCCCTTGAATATATTCCGCTGCGTCGCGAACACAACGCCCCCTGCCCGCAAAGTTTCACCCCGCGCGTTTGCCCAAGCTGCGTCATTGAAGGCCACGAACGCGAGCTCGTGAAACGGGATGTGCTCGATCTTCAACTCCACGTTGCTGAACTGCTTCGCCATCCTACCGATACGATTCGCCCCAAATAAATCCTCGACCTCCAGCTTGGGCATCTTCCCTTGGAGCAGCGACACTGGCCCTGATAAATATGGTCGGCTCTCGCGCGCCAAGAAGGAATCGAACCACGCAGGCTCCTTGCTTGATGAAGTTCTTCAGGAATTACTTCTGACTGGGGCTCCTTGCGCCTCTCCGTCGCAATGTTGATGAGCTGGATGCTGTCGGAGCTCGGTCTCCGCGACACGATGATCTCGGTGTTGTCGTCGTTATGCCTGGGCTCCTTGCCCGCGTGCTTGCCCTTCTCGGGACGCCAGACTCCGACTGGAAATCTGCCCCGCAGCTCCTTGCAAGCCTCGTCGAACAGGACGTCACCTCTGCCCACGACGTCGTCCACAGTCAAGCTCGCGACGCCACGGAGTCTCTCGTCGCCGCGCAAGTAGAAAACGCAACCGTCAAGGATGGATCATTTGAAACCGATCTCCTTGGCGTACTTGGTAAAGGCTGATAGCCATTGCAGCGGGGCGTCTTCTAATCCGTAAACAGCCCTGAGTAGCTCCACCAGCGAGCCCCCCATCCGCGTCTGGCACGCCTGTCCAAGGTAACTCCACGCATAGACTTCATTGTGATCTATCGATGGGAACGCCTGCGGCGAAGGCTGAGGCGACGTCAGTTCGCTGCAGCGTCCACTTATTTGTAGACAGAATCTGTAGAATCAAGAACACGGAGTCCTTCCCGACCACGGGATTGTAAGTCTCGAGGTCTAGTAGGTCAGGATCAGCGCGGACTTGCACCGCCCATCTCGCCTTAGCCATCCGCCACGCGCTGCCGACCATGAATATCAGCTTCCTCTCGCCTGCGCCCGCCCCCCTGAGCCACCGCCCTCGTCGGCCAACACCCATCGAGAGCCCAAGATCCGCGAAGCTCGTTCAGGATCCCGTCGCGCCTGCTCAGCTTCAGCGGGTGGAAGTACACGCACCGGTTGAGCTTGCATGATGTCGCCCCACTCCCACCGCTAAGCCGCGATGTAGGGCGAGTACTTGCACGCGTTCATCAGGGACCCCTCGGCGATCTCCTTACGAAGTCGCTGATTGATGCTGGTAGGTAGTGCTGCACTGGCTTGCTGCCCTTTGACCTTCCTGCCATTCTGCCGAGGTGGAGCCCCCACGTCCTTATCTATCTTCTCCTCGATTGTCGCGATGCGCTGTCACCAGCATGGCTGAGCTCGGGAAACTGGCCCCCTGCTTGACGGCGAAGGGAACGTCGTCGAGGTGGTCGCAGCGCATCGTTGGACTGGCAGTGGGATCTGGATTGACGCCCCCTGCCTTCTCGATACCCTTGATGGGTAGCTGCCATGACGAAGGTGTTGATCGTCCTCTGCGGGTTCTGGCGGTGCTGCTCGTGGTACGTTGTCTTCTGGTTCCTCGGGAGGTCCATCCCGGTGCGAGAGATCCTCGCACTTGCGGCGACCGCGGTTCTCCGTGCTGATGTCCTCCTGCATCGCGTCGTCTACCTGCTCACAAGCCGTCGCCTCTCACTAGTTCGTATGTCGAAGCTGCCCAGGTGAACGCTTCAGTAAATCTCCCTGGGAAGAGCACCAGACGGCGTTCGACAGCTCTGTCTGCACCACCCGGGCTGGCCCATGCCATGAGCTGGAAGGTAGCTCGTCTGCAATGCTTCTCCAGAAAGCTACCCCTGTCTCCAGGTTGGAAGGTAGTTCCCCTCGTAGGTCTGGCCCTTCGGTTGAGCGCGCGCCTTCACTTCCTTGAGCATTCTGCCTCGATGCCCGCCGTCATCGCCGCCTTGCGCACGTCGATACTCCTCGCCAGCTCGGCGGCTCCACTCGTAGCCCTCGATGCCGCGGAGAGACTCGGTGAGCCCTCTTCCAGGATTCGTTCAGGAAGCCTAGATTGGCCGCCCAAATACTCGCTGATATGGTGCGAAGCCTCCTCTCCGCACGCCCTCCCCGATGGCCGCGTTGACCGCGTCCACCAACTCGTAGAAGTCGCCCCAGTTGACCGCGTTGAACTTCTGCCTGGCCCTGCAGAAAGGTCACCTTCCAGGTGCCTCCAGCTCGCTCTGTCTTGCCCGCCCGCCATCGTGAAGTCGCACTTGCGAACTCGCCCGCTGAGAAGCCTTCTTCTCAGTCGGTGACCACCATGCGCGGTGCGCCGTAGACCCGCATCCAACAAGTTCGATAGCGGCGTCGAACCCGGCGCCCATGTCGACTAGGAAGTGGCACCACGATCTGGCGCCCCGTGCCATGGCACACCATGTTCAACATGGGAACCTTGGCGGTGTTCTCGGGGCCCAGCACGAAGAAGATGCTCATTCCTATGACGTCGTTGAACTGCTGTTGCAGGTGCCTTAGAAGGCTGGGCGAGCCTCGGTCGCTCGTTAGCAGCGCAACTCGGACACTCCAGCCGCTGTGCCACCTCAACGTAGGCCTGTCCGTCGCGCCTTGCAGCACTTCACGACCATGGCCAAATTCTCATCGCTGCAGTGCCCCATATTCTCGTGAATCTTCTGAACCTGCAGTGCTCCTCTCGTCCTTCGCGGGCATCGCAGGTGCTGCACAGCATGGCGTGCAAGTTGCTGTCTCCTCCTCTGCCTTGTGCTCGCTGCCCTCGTGGACCTCCCCCGTCAGCTTCTGCTTCACAGTCGACCTCACCAGGGCCCCCGCCAGCTCCTTCAGCGACTCGCGGACGCCTCCCAGCTTCATCCGAGATGGCCCGTTCCCGAACTCCTGGCTCGGCATCTTGCCGAACTCCAGTGCCGCCCCTGGAAGATTGGATACCCAGAATCGCCCGTTCGCCCAAGCTTCTCCTTGGTTAACTTCTGGCAAACGTCTCAGCTCCTTGATCAGCGCGCCCCACCCCCCAGCCCCTGGAGTCGTCGCGCCGACCGCAGTAGCAGCACCTCCCGTCGATGGTCCGCTGAATGGCCACATCTGAAGTGACAGCGAGTATCTCCTTGCCGATCATCTCCTTCAGCTGAGCATTGTAGATGTGCTCGGGTGGTTTGATGATGAGAGGCAAGGGCCTCGTGATCTGCATCTCGTTCCAGGCCTCCTGCTGGCCCGCTCTAATCATCCAGCGAAAACCCATCAGCGTCATGACCTCCATGCTCTCGACGTTCCTGGTCGCTCCTGCATCCTCGCGCAGGCGCTGGACCTGCGGCTCGTATTCGTCCTCGATCTGGCCACTGAAGACCTGCCTCTGGGGTGGCTGAGTCGATCGCCTGCCTAAGGTTGTCAACTTTATCGAGTTGCTTCATGGACTTGTTCATGACGCCCTTCTGCTTCTCGCTGGGTAGGTTCACAGTTCGCTGACGTCTGCCCCAAGGTGCTCCCTGAAGCTCCCGACCAGCTGGTTTGTCGTCTGGCTGGCGTTCGTAGTGCCTGTAGAGCCTTGCTCCGAAGTGACTCGTCAAGCTCCCCCCAACCTCCTGCGTCTCCCGACCGCCCCGCTCGTTCTCGCGGTGCCGGGTGGTCGGTCTGCTGTTGGCTGCCCTGGCTGCCGGCTTGGACTCCGTCGGCGTCTCTGTCGCTTCGGCCTCCTGCTCCTTGCTTGCCCTGGCCACGTGGCCCCTCGGCGCCCACCCCTTGATCCGAGCCCCCTCGTTCGCGAACTCCTCCAGCTTCTCGATCGCCTCCTGCATCCCCTCGGCCGAGCACGGATAATACTCCGAGCAAAGCTTGCACCCGCTGCAGTGGACGTAGAAGGCCGTCGCGCCCCCGCCGTGGCTGGTGAATTCACGGACGCAGTCCTTCTCCATCGCTGGGTCGCGGCCCCCGGCCCTCGCCCCGACGGCGGGGGCTCGGGGCCCTGGACTGACGACCAGCGCCTGCACATCATCGCCCCCGTCGGCGGGATGGGCCCGTTGCAGATCTTACGCCAGGGCCACTCGTAGGCCGCGTCGCGCAGCGTGCTGAACTGTTCCTTCGGATCCATGGCCTTGCGCGAAACAGGCCCCCCCCGCGCCGTAGATGCCCCCGCCTGCCCCGCTGGCCTCGCGGACTCTCGCGACTGTAGAGGCTGCGAGCGCCGAGCAGACAAACTCAGGGGCCCATCGCAGGACATGGAAATATCGAGAAATACTGGCCGAGGTGGCCCTCGGGAAACCTGCCCGCGAAACCTGGCTCGGGCCTAACAGGCTATTCAAAAAAGTTCTGCTGTCGTCACTCCGTATTCTTCTGGTCATTTCGATGCCCCTGTCCTTGCGCACGCCGTAGCTCTTGCGGGCAACGCCGCCGTTCCCCCCCTGCCCGGCGCTGCCCGCTCTGAAGTTGCAGCGCGCGCAGTTGCTCTTGTCGATTTTGCTTTCGTCCTGCGTCTGCTTGCTCATGCTGCCCCTTGCCCGTGCCGTTTCTCGCGGCGCTCGCGCCATGCCTGCAAAATCCCGAGAAGAAGCACGCTTCGACCAGCGGGGCGCCCCTGGGCCCCCCCCGAGCAAATGCCGATGGATAGATACACTCGCCACCCGTTCCGAAGTCCATCGAAACCTCCTTCGCGCGCAGCGCCCAGCTCTCAGGCCCCCTCCAAAGCACGACACGGTTGCCCAGCTGTAGCAGGAAATGCCCACCGCCAGCGCGTGTCAAAGGAAGTCTGGCATTCTGCTCGGGGAGGTCGAGCTCCGACTGGAATGCGCGCAACGATGCCTTCAGCCCCATGACAAACGTCTTGGATAGAAGCAGGGGCGCGGCCCCCTTGACAAGGCACACGATGATCACGCCGCTGAACTCGACGAGCACGATCGGCACGGTGACCCCCTCCGTCGCGGCGCAGACCTGGTCGTTCCCCAGACGATACTTCTTGTAGTAGGGCATCATCTCCAGCCCGATGTCGCGGCACCCTTGCAGCGCTTGGCCCACGCGTCGCACGTCTGGAGGCCCATCATGTTGAAGCCGCACGCCGCGTCTACTGCCCTCATCCTGGTCTGCCCGACTTCTCGACGCCCACCGCCAAGTTGACATGCCCGACGAAGTTGGACCTCGACGCCATCTTCGCCCCCGAAGCGATGTAGCTACACAGCTCGTCGTCCAGAAAGGTCATCGCGATGAAACATCCTGTCGGCTTGACCTTGTTCACGGGGTTATCGGGGCACTCCTTGCGCCAGTCTCCTAGCTTCTTGTACATGCCGCACTTGGTCCGCTTCTTGAAGTCCTCGGTATTCTCCTCGGTTCTCATTCGACCCCTGATGCTGTGGAAACCCCTGTTGGTTTTTTTGTCGGCAACGGTCCTTCTAGCCTCTCCCCACGTCCTGGGCTTCGGCGGAAGTGCGACAGGCGCCGCCAGGCAGTCCAGCGCCTCCGTCTCCGTCAGCGTCTCCTCGTGGTCCAGCTTGTCGTTTGCGCCGTTTGTCCCGTCTCCCTCGATGCCCAGCAGGTTCGCCATTGCGTCGTAGATGATGTCGTCCTCGTCCCCGCCGGACAGTGCTTGCCCATTTTCTTCTCGTACTCCTGCTAGGTAAGCCGTCCTCGCAGGCGTCGTCTTGCCGGTCACCGCGTTGTCGTCGGCCATGCACTTGAGAATCGCCACAAGCTTGTTCACGTCATTTTCGTACCCCGTCTGGATGAATACCTGGTTTCGCTCCGTTTCGGCCAGGCCTGCTCCCCGTAGCAATAGAAACCCATCACCGTCTCGTCAAGTGCGTTGGGAGCAGCCTTTCCTTCTGTTCAGCTCTGACCCTGTTGGTGAAATTCATCAGTGTCTCCTCGCGCGATCTCGGTGCCGCGAACAACGTCTTTCTAGTTGCTGGAAGGTCTCGGCGTCTGCTTTGGGAAACGCAAGCGTGTCTAAACCCATGATGACAGCCTGAAGCCCCCCAGCGAACTACACACTCCCTGGTCATAGATGCCGCGTCGCCGTCGCCGCTTCCTTCATCGGGCGCAGCAATAGCATCTCTCCCTGCTCTTCTGGTGGTACTGCCGTGAGTCGACTCCACTCGCAGAAATCTGTGCCGTCCCACAAAGGGTACGGAGGATCTTCTCCTCGGCGCGCTCCTCTTCGATGGTCTCCTTCGTGCTCGTCATCTCGATATTGCTTGCCTCGCGCCACCGCCGCGTTTTTGACTTGTTTTGGCGTGGCGAATCCTCTCGAGCGTGAGTTGTCTGAGTGCGTGTCCGATCCGCTCTTCTCGAACGTCTGGCCGTGCTTTTGCCTTGCGAACCAATCATCGTAGTCGTCGCTTGCCCACCAAGCTCCCCCATCGACTTGATGCCCACGGCCCGTTCTCGAATCGAGAACCTGTGTCGCTCTGCCCTGCTGTCTCCACCTTCGCAAAGGGGTCCCGTGCACCGTCGTCGATGCTGTCGTGATGCTCGCCTCTGCTGCCCTTCAACTTCTCATCGTCTACGATTTCCCAGCTACGCTTGTCTACGTCGTGACTGTTGTCGTTGCCGTCGCTCCGCTTACCACATGTGGACATACTCTCAAATGCGAGCATGCGTCGTCGAAACATCGATACAATGAGGGATGTCGAAGGAAAGGTAGCTGGCACTCTTCAGTACCGAGCGCCCACGTTCCTGAATGGGGGCCGACAGGCCCCCTTCCCCTAAACCGAAGCGGCGGTAAAGGAAAAGGGGTACAGGTTCTGGGCGAAGCACAAGCAGCTCCTAAAGGGCCTCGGGATGCTCCTAAAGACCTCCGAAAGACCCCGAGGGTCTTCTAGATTCACACCAAGAAACCCAGGGGGGGGGGGGAATCGACCGGGAATCGGCGATACATCGCCGAAAGATAAGCGATAGTCACCCGATAGCGAGCCCGCACCTTCCTGGGCGGGGCGGGGCACCAGACCCCCATCGGCGATCAAGGGGCGATTGGGGTCGAGACATCCCCTGCTGAGCCTCTGCCCCCCCCCCTGTCGTCTCCCCTGATGCACGAGGCCCGGGGGGGGGGGGGGCCGTCGGCCGGCGCTGGCCCTTCGCATGATGTAGACGCGCTGGCAGACGCCAGCGTAGTAGCTCTTTGGCCGCAGGACGGGCTCCACCTCTCGGCGCTCCTCTTTCTCCTCCTCTTCCTCCTCCTCCTCCTCCTCATCTTCCTCCTCCTCCTCCTCCTCTTCCTCCGCCTCCTCCTCCATATTATTCTCCTCCTCCTCATCCTCCTCGTCCTCCTCCTCCTCCTTCTTATTCTTCATTTTTTAGCATAACTAGTACTGGTACTGAAATAATAGAGTTAATAGTATTCGTCGTACTTATAACATTGATAGTATTATTGTCTTTTGGTCATTGTAGTATCAATATATCACTCATAATTTCATGGTTGGCATTACTATAGGATATCAGTGTTAGTATCAGTTGTAGTTGTAGCACTCGCATTAGAAACGAAGTGGGAAATTGTCATTAATATGAGCGTTCTCAATATTATTATGTTCGTGCTTTGTCCGTATTAGTACTACTCTACTCGTATTATGCATATTATTGTTCGCCGTACTCTTGCTCTCAGTAGTATTATTGCTACTACTATTATTCTTCTCGTTTATAACAGTGCGGTTCGTATCAACATTACGAATTTGTGTTCGAATTTCTGTTCGTCTTCTCATTATTCGCATCAGTATATTTATTGTTATTCATCCTCCTCCTCCTCCTCTCTCCTCCTCCTCCTCCTCCTCCCTCCTCCTCCTCCTTCTCCATATGTTCCTCCTAGCCTTAGTGTTAGTATTATCAAAATAGGCTTGCCCTATAGGAGTCCTAGCTCAAACCTTACTAATTGGTCCGTTGCCCCTGCTCCCACCCCCATAATTGCTTTGCCCTCCCCCCCTTCATTCCTATGGCTATGCCTATGCCTATGCCTATCCCCCCCCTTTTCCAATGACACAACCCTTATGTATGCTTGTTTGATTGCTTGCGCGCTGACTTGCTTGCTTGCTTGCGTGCGTGCTTGCTTGCGCGCTTGCGCGCCTGCACACTTGCTTGCTTGCTTGCTTGCGCTTGCTTGCGCGCTTACTTGCACGCTTGTTTGCTTGCTAAGCTGCGGATTCCAAGCATGTTCGATTCCTCTGATTCCTTGACTCGTCTAATCTATTTGGAGTCAACGCTGGCTGGTATTATTAGTACAAGTATTATAAGTGTTAGTAGTATTGGTGGTAGTAGTAGTAGTCGTAGTAGTAGTAGTAGCAGTAGTAGTAGTAGCAGTAGTAGTAGCATGTGTTTTGATATTACCAGTAGTAGTATTACTGCTGCTGTTGCTACTACTACTACTACTACTACTACTACTACTACTACTACTACCATTACTACGACTACTACTACTACTACTACTACTACGACTACGACTACGACTACGACTACTACTCCTACTACTACTACTACTACTACTACTACTACTACTACGACGACGACGACGACGACTACTACTACGACTACTACTACTACTACTACTACTACTACGAATACTACAAATACTACGACTACTACGACTACGACTACTACTACGACTACTACTACTACTACTACTACGACTACTACTACGACTACTACTACTACTACTACTACTACTACTACTACTACTACTACTACTACTACTACTACTACTACTACTACTACTACTACTACTACTACTACTACTACTACTACTACTACTACTACTACTACTACGACTACGACTACGACTACTACTACTACTACTACTACTACTACTACTACTACTACTACTACTACTACTACTACTACTACTACTACTACTACTACTACTACTACTACTACTACTACTACTACTACTACTACTACTACTACTACTACTACTACTACTACTACTACTACTACTACTACTACTACTACTATTAGCATTATCAAACTAGCTCTTCTTCTGACATTCGTATTATTAGTCTGGATAAGTATTGGTTAGTAGTGTGGTTTGTCTTATTCTGACTAATACGACCATTCGTCGCATGATTCTTCGTCATGGTACTACTTTTCCTATGTGCATCAAACTTACTCTTCTCATTATTAACATTCCTAGTGATACTAATAAGACTCATGTGCTGTGCATTCGTCTTCTTATTATCATTAGTCGCATTATTCGTCGTAGTGCCAGTGTTAATAGTATGGTTGTTCGTCTTCTTCTTATTCGGAATGTTCTTCCTAATATTATTCCTCCTCCTCCTCCTGATCCCTCCTCCTCCTCCTCCTCCTCGTCCTCTTCCTCTTCCTCCTCGTCATCCTCCTCCGCCTCCTCCTCCTCCTCCTCCTCCTCCTCCCCCTCTTCCTCCGTCATCGTCTCCCCATCCCCGTCTTTTAGTATGCTCCTTATTAGTATGTGTCGTGGTGTTGAGCTTATTATTCTCATCATTCACCTTATAGGTAATAGAGTTGCATTCATATTAATATTACCATTACGAATAGTACCATTGATACGTTGCCAGTATTAGTATGACTAGTACAAGTATGATCAGCATTGTCACCATCCTCATCACAAGTATTATTACTACTACTCGCATTAGTGTTAGCAGCGGTATTCTATAATCATTAATCATAGTAGTAGTATTGATATGGTCGTCGAGTTAGTCGTATTAGTGTGTTCAAGATTTCTAGTATGATTCTCGTTATTACAATTATTCGTCACATTAGTATTCCGAGTGGTACTCTTCTCATTACTAGTAACATTACTCGTATGGTTATTACGATTACTGGTATGTGGATTCGCCTTCTTAGTTGTCATACGTTTCTCATTCCTGGCAATACTACCAATATGAGTATCATCCGTCTTCGTAACATTCTGTTTAGTAGAGTTTGTTGTCTTCCTCCTCCTCCTCGTTCTCATCCTCCCTCCTCCTCCTCCTCCTCCGTCCTCCTCCTCATCCTCCTCCTCCTCTTCCTCCTCTCCCTCCTCCTCCTCGTCCTCCTCATCCCTCCTCCTCCTCCTCCATCCTCCTCCTCCTCCTCCTCATCCTCATCCTCCTCCTCATCCTCCTCCTCCTCCTCCCTCCTCCTCCTCCTCCTCCTTCATCTTCTCCTCCTCCTCCTCATCCTCCTCCCCCTTCTTATTGTCCGACTGTTTCGTCTCGTTAGTCTTTCTATTATTACTATGATTGGTCTTCTTTCGTTTCTTAGTAGTATTAGGTTTCGTCTTGGTGTGACCCGTATTAGTATGATCCGTATTCCTATGATTAGTAGCATCAGTACTAGCATCCTCGGTAGTAGTGCTGTTATCTATGTATTTATAGTATGCGTATGATTACTAGTAATACCATTATTACGACATGTGTATTACTATTCGTATTATGTTCTCTTATTCTGATGTTCTGTACTAGTGTTACTCGCCGTCTTAAGATTCCCCTGGTTATTACTATTATTGTGATATTATTCATAATACTAGTGCTAGTGATATGGTTCCCGTATTCTTAATATGAGTATTATTCCTACTTTTCGTATTATTAGCATGATCAGTAATCGAAGTATGATTAGCCTTCTTATGATTATGACTATTATTATTATTACCATTCCTCTTCCTCATCCCCCTCCTCCTCATGCTCCTCCTCCTCCCTCCACCTCCTCCTCCTCC